ATAAAATTCATAAAATTCTGAACAGCATTTCTATCACAGCCTTACATAAGTGTGCTTGATAAAAAATTACGAAATTTTAGGAACATACCTAAAACATAAAGACATTAGAGTTTAATATATTACTATATTTTAGAAACATACTAAACATAAAGACTAAGGTAAATCTCAATAACAAAGATATGTTTAAAATTCAAAATCTTGAAAGATATGAAAACTTATTATCTTTAGGTAACATCTAAACTTATTAACTCTAGGTTATATATAAACTTATTAATTCTAACTTGCCAACTTGAAATATTGGCAATATAAAAAGATAAAATAAATAGATAAAAGTGTAAGAAAAATAATATTTATTATAGTTTAGATAATATAAAAAGAAAAAATGTAACCTTAACTTTTTTATTTTATTTAATTTTGATTGATCCCAATCATTCATCATTAATAACTACACTAAGTAAAATCATTTTTGCTTCTGTTGCTATAAAACAAGTTTTTATACACTAAAACTCCTCTGCAGCTTGGAGTCTTGACAGCATTTTTATCACACCCTTATATAAGTTTTTTACAGAATTCTCCCCATTACTCAATAAAAGATTTAACAAGTGAAAAATGTAAAACATTTAAACTCGTTTTATATGTATGTTTAATTTATACAAAGTTAATGTTTGAAGGAGAAAAGCTGAAAGAGAAGAGTCTGAAGTATAGTTATGAGATTTTAAATAAGAATTTTAAAGCTTAGCTGTTTTTTTCTGAACTGAAAAATGAATAGGTTAAACTAGTTTCAAAATTATAGAAATTTGTCACAAACAATTATATATGAAAGCATTAAACAATCAGAAAGTTTCAAATTTAAATAATGCAGACTTGGTAATTAGACTTGATAAAGTAATGAAGACTTGATAATTAGTTGTTCTGGAATTGAAATGGATAATAATACAATGCTTTGCCTACACAATAAATGTATTCACTTAAAGTAATACTTCACAGCTTAGATAGCTTGCTGTGATTTAATAACAAATGTCTGATATGAGTTTGGTGGTACGAATAAAAATGATTTTTAAGAAAAATTATTTTAGTATCTATAATAAAAATGATTTTTAAGAAAAAATATTTTAGTAAATATCCAGTATTATTTTATGAGATTGAACAAATTATGGATACCAAAATATAGACTTTTTTAGTGTTATTTTTTGGACCGACCTTCACAGCTTAGTTTAAATTACTATACCCAGCAACGATTGTTATAGTGGTATTGCAGTGGACCCATATAGACATTTTAGAATGGTTATTTGGGGTTTTGCTCTTTAGTTACTTAGATGACCATTTGTAGCAGCCACTGTAAATGGCAAGCCAATAACTTTGCAACATGTTAATAGTGGCTAGTCATCAGCAAGCCATTTTTTTCAGCTGTCACTAAAGGTCGACTAAATAACGAATAAGCAAAACTACAGTGTGCCACTCAAAATTTGAAGATAAACTAGTTGCAAATTGAAGACATTATTTTTTAAACAAAGAATATGTCTCCTCAGAGTTGTGTCTATATTTACAGGCGTTTTGATGAGCATCAAGACTAATAACTAATTTATCCCATCATCAGGAAAAAAAAAAATGTTAGAATAAATTAATTTCTTTATCATAAGTGCTGATGATGTTTTTCACAAACATCATCAGCACTTATGCTTTTCCTTGTAACTACTTGAGTTGGTATTTGATAAGAAAGGAAATATGTTCACTTGTTCACTACCAGTTTAATTTAGAGAATATCAACTTGATAAGAAACCTACTATACAGATATATTTATACCAGTTACATATGAAACCGACTTTGGAAATTATCAACATACTTTCACCACCTAAATACCATAATTATTAACACCATGTTAGTAAACTTATTGATGTCCTTTCTTCCCTAATAAAAATCAGAAGTTTGTTATAAAAAAAAAAAAAATCTTATTAGACATGGCTATTATGGTGATGGTTTTAATAGACAAAGCCTAGGATTTAAGATTTTTGGACAAAATTAAAAAAAAAATTATTTAAATTGAAGAGTCAACATAAGATTAAGAGACATGTTAACTATTTTTAGCAAGTTATTACTTGGTTAACTTTTGTTTAATTTTACTGAGTTATTACTTGGTTAACTTTTGTTTGATTTAGTTGCTGAATGCTGTTTTGAGATGAAACTTGATAGACCCTAGACAGAGGAAATAAATGAGTTTCTTCTGTTCATTGGGGACAACTTTTATAATGCACAATAAAACCTATCGGTAAATACTGTTAGTAAATCAGCCGTAGAACAAGAAGATCGAAATCCATGTTCATGATCAGAAAGTAAGTTATTAGATTCAAAATGAGATATTAGGTGTTTGTTGATAAAAGATCCAAAAACCTTACTTATGATAGGAAGAAGACTAATGGGATTGTAGTTAGACAAATAAGAGCGCTCTTCAGAATTTTTAAAAATAGGAATAACAGATGCTGCTTCAGGGTATAATGAATGTTAAGCAATAGACTAACCTGTTTGACGGCTTTACCAGGAAGAATGCAACTAGTGGAATCAAGAGATGATATTGATGAAAAGTTCTTAGAAAATAATTTAGTTTTGTCTTTAGGTGAGGTGACAAAGTCTGAACCATACAAAAAAAGTGGAATTACAGACTTGCTCTTGATACTAATTGATACTATTAAAGGTTCTCTAGAAGTCAAAAGAGCCTAATTTCTGTGATGAAATAGAAGATTTCATGACCTGAGAATAATGGGCTTTCACATTAGACAAAACCTTTATACAATTGTTCCTAGCAGTAATAAACAGACATGTTTTCTAGAGAATTATTTTGCTTATAGATATGGAAGAAATGGTGATGAAGAGTGATGCATGACCCAGAATCGTCGAGGGGGAATAAAGGATTCCATGCCAGCCCAAATCCATGAAGTTATGTAAGAAGAACATTTGTCAACAGAAAGACAAAAAATTTCTACCTAAGGGCCATCATAAAGAAAATCACAAAGAGTCCCAGTCAGCTTAAAGGTAGTTGTAAGATGTACAATGATAAGGGGATTCTGATGATAAAGAATGAGATAATAGTTTTAGAGAGATCAAACTGTGATCAGAGGCACTTAATGGTAAATGTGGAAAAACTAAGCACTGACTAGGATCAGAAACAAGACATAAGTCAAGTAGAGCAGGAAAATGATTGGGGTTGTCTAGAAAGCGAATTAGAAAATTGCATATTTGAGTTAGGGATTGAGAAAAAAAAAAAAAAAAAAAAAAAAAACGAAAGAAAGATTTAAAAACCTTAATCAAAACTTTGGTGTATTTTCATTTTTTATTTATGTTATTATGTGATGTACTTATCAAGTGTTAATGTGAATAAAATTATATTGATGAAAGAAAATTTTGTGTTTGTTTTTAATTTAATTTATTTTATTTGAAGAAATAAGAGAAGTTTTTTAAGCTCAATGAGGTCCTACTTTCAATAAATATTTAACACAGTTTTCTAATTAACTATAAAGCACTAGAGAAAAAAATATTAGTAGTTTTATAGGTATAAAAATTAAAATAAAGCACTTGAGAAAAAAATATTAAAAATGGAAAATGACTGTCTGCAGAAAGGGTTAGAAACACGTATTTTGGTACTAGAGAATGAAAAAGACTCTCGAGAATCATTGCCAAAACAATGGTACTCAGATGCTATAACAAGTAAAAATTGGTCTACCTCTTCTTCTAAAACGAAATCCCCAATTAAACAATTAATTGTTGTAAATGCAGCTATTAATGAGCTAAAAAATAGAGAAAAAAGAAAAAAATATTGTCTATGGCCTTCCTGCATCTAAAAAAGCTACATTGCAAGAACAACATGAGGAGGATAAAGAACAAATTAATTTCATAAACCGGGACCAGTATGAGTGATTTTAAATGAAGATTCCGAGAGAAATCCAATTTTAGCAAAATCTAAATTATTAATAGAAAAGCAAGATTACAAGGAGGTTTTTATTTCGCCTGATTTAACTGAAGCAGAGATAATGGAAAACTATGATCTTAGAAAGAAACGTGACAAAACGAATGGTGAAAGAATAGCAAAGTCGCTCTTTAGATATGCGATCCGTGGAAATGGAGTTGTCAAATTTAAAATACAACTAAACACAACAACATAAAAAATTAGTAAGTTTGTTATCATTTAATGTTTTATATACGAATGCAACATCTTTTGTAAACAAAGTTGAAGAATTTAAAATCTTATGCAGTTTTAAAAATCCTCAAATAATTGCTATTACAGAAACCTGATTTAATGAGACATCGGAAATTTATTTGAAAGGATATTCTTTGAATAAACAAAATAGGGGGGATGGACGTAGAGGAGGAGGGGTTGCGCTATATATAGATAGCAACCTAATATCTTATGAGGTAAACAAAGGTATATTAAACAGAAGTAAAATTGAACAAATATGGATCATTATAGTTGCAAATGATAAAAAATATTTAATTGGTTGCGTGTAAAGACCAAGCAAACAAGTAGATATGCTTGAAATGAGTCAAATATTCACAGAAGCTTGTATATTAGTAGAAAAAAATAGTTTTTGTTAATTATTGGTGATTTTTATTTTCCAAATGTGAAAAGGTCGAATGGATACGTTAGTGATATTTTAGTAGGTGAAGATTCTGTTGAAAATGAATTTATTAATATTATATATGAATGTTTTTTGTACCAACACGCATCAATCCCAACCTTTCAAAATGCACAATATGTTACAAAAAATACCTTGGATCTTATTTTTACAAAAAACAATGAACGAGTCTATCAACTTGAATCTAACCCAGTTCTAGGAAATATAAATCATGGACATTTGGTTTTAACTTGTAAAGTTAACCTTGATGCTATTGCAATGGAAAATTATCCAAAGTATAAATTTGATTACAGTAGATGTGACTACCCTCAAACAAGCCTAAGTATTAATAAAATTGACTGAAATTATTTATTTGATGGGTTATCAGTTCAATTTATGTATGATCTGTTTATTGAAAAAATTAGTCAATCATGTAATGCTTTTATTCCAATAATTGACGTAAATTCAAGAAAGAAAGAAAAAAATAATCCATGGTTTACTGATGAAGTAAGTCTTCTAGTACGTTCAAAACAAAATTTGCGTTATCAAAATTTATCATCGAACTGGAAAGATTTGAATAAAGTAATGAAATATAAAAATATTTGCAAAACTGTGAAAATAGAATCGAGTAAAGCAAGTTGTTACTATGAAAATGATCTTGTTGAAAAATCAAAGGTAAATCCGAAACTGCTATATAAATATGTGAATAGTCAAAAAACGATTAAACAAGTAATTAAAGCATTGAGAGATCAAACTGGTTGCGTAACAAATGATCAAAATGAAATTGTTGAAATTTTAAATAAACAATTTCAAGATGTGTTTACCATCGAAAATTCTACAGAAGAGCTTCCACAAATTGAGAATTTAGGGGATATTATTATTGATGCAGTTAATATAGATTATTTTGATGTTTTAATTAGATTGAAAAATGTTGATATCAATAAAACATATGGAGTTGATTTTATACATCCGTTGATTTTGAAAAATTGTGGGGATTCTGTAGCATTGCCATTAACTTTAATTTTTATAGAATCTTTTGTTAAAAGTGAACTACCAACTCAATGGAGAGCAGCAATTATTACACCACTATTCAAAAAGGGAGATAAATTAGAAGCTGCAAATTATAAACCAGTGTCATTGACGTCAATTACTTGTAAAATTATGGAAGGTATAGTCAGAGACTGCATACAATCATATTTAATAAAATATAAATTAATATCGAAGTCACAACATGGTTTTGTTAAAGGGAAGTCTTGTACAACAAACTTATTAGAGGCGTTGGATTATATTTCATTTAATTTATCGATTGGTATTTCGGTAGATGAAGCACTTTTAGATTTTGTTAAAGCTTTTGATTCTGTTGCTCACAAAAGATTATTGATCTTCATATGGAATTAGTGGTTTATTATTAAAATGAATTGAAGCTTTTTTAAAAAACAGAATCCAAAGAGTTATCCAAGGTGATGTTTCTTCATGGCGCAAAGTTTTCAGTGGCGTTCCGCAAGGATCCGTAATAGGGCCCTTATTATTTGTTATTTTTATTAATGATATATCAAATATATTTAAAAATAAGTCAGTATTGTATGCAGATGATACAAAAATTCTTTCAAAAGTGAATGAAATAAATGTGGAAAATAGCTTGCAAAAAGATCTGAATAATGCAGAGGAATGGTCTAAAAAGTGGCTCTTGGGTTTTAATTCTAGTAAATGTGTTATAATGTGGTACAAATAATCCGCGATTGAAATATACTGCAAATGGTGTTGAACTGAAAGATTCTGAATGCGAGAGAGATTTAGGTGTATATTTTTCAACAAACTTGAAATAGAAAAAACAAATTATATTAAGTACTTCTAAAGCAAATTCAATGATGGGTATGTTAAAGATGACATTTTCACGAATTGATGCAAAATTGGTTAAAACATTGTATAAGGTATTTTTTAGACCTCTTATTGAGTTTGCAGCACCTGTTTGGTCACCTTATTTTAAAGGAGACATATCACTTTTGGAAAAAGTTCAACACATGATGACTAGATTAGTTCCATCATTAAGGAAAATTAATTATAAAAAGAGATTGGAAATATTAGATATATCTACATTGAAAACAAGGAGGGAACGTGGTGATTTAATACAAGTGTTTAAATTACTTAACAGATTTGAGGAAATTGATTTAATTAATGAACCGAAGCTTAAAGTTGATTCAATTACTCAAGGTCACAATCTTAAATATGAAAGAGAAATTGTGAACTATTTACCTCGGCATCATTTTTTATTAAATCGTACGGCCAATTTATGGAACGCTTTACCGGAAACTGTTGTTACTTCAAAAACTGTCAATCAATTTAAGAATAGATTAGGTGAGTATAACGCCAAATCAAAGAAGTTTTAACTAAACATTTTTAATATATATCTCTAAATATGAATACTGTAAAAATTCAATGTTCAATGTTCAATGTCGCGTTACGTCATTGTTTATTGTTTTTTCAAGTAGATTCTAGGCTTTTTTTAGAGCGCGTTTTTTAAGTACATGCGGTCCACCCAAAAGGTCTACCGAGCCAGACCTGACGAACTTCTCTTAACTTTTTAGGGAAATCATTTTTATATAGTTTCAATTTACATGTTTACTTAAGTTGAATTTTGCAATTTTTTATTTTAGAACGTTGTTATAAAATGAAGAGTTGTAAAGTAAAAATCTTATTTTTACTTTATAGGTTATATTTAATTTTATTAATTTAATTATTATAGATTAGCAAAAAAGAAAAATGAACGGTAAAGTTTTTATTTTAATCTTTTTCAAAACACTTTATTTGTTTAACATCAAAGGAGTCTTATTGTAAGGAAAAATTTAAACTATGTGAAAACTATTTGAACGATTTAAAAGATAAATAAGACTTATTAATAATCATAATAATAATTTAAGTTACATTTTAAGTACATTATCAAGTATATAGTATATTTTTTTTTTTCTGTTTATTTAATGTGTAACTTTGATTTTTTGTTTTTTTTGGTTTACTATAATTTATTATTTTTTCATTTATATTTTGATTTATATTATTATTATTATTGTAAATTCTATTTAGTTAACCACGGAGATGAAACTGAAGGTAAGTGTTGATTTTTTAAATATTTAAGTAGAATTTAAAATATTAGTAGTATATAGTAGAGTATTTTTGGAGTTGAATTTTCATTTAGTTGACAATGATGGGGAAGATGAAAGTAAGTTTTAAATTTTGTAACTATTTTAGTAGAACTAAATATATATGTTAATGATAACTTCTGTCTAAAACAAGATGTTAATTGTATATATAATTTGTTTAGTTTATCATAAGCGACCTGATAAAGGTATAATCGTTAGTTAGCCAATTAGCAATTAATTTTGTTTTTAAAATTATTGAATTTTTATAATATATGTCTTTAAAAGATTTTAATAAAAGTGTATTTAAATTTATTGTTTAGACAAAGCACTAAAGAAATACAGTCAGTATTTTTGTCATTAAATATTTGTTATTAGGATTTAATAATTTGTACTGTTTACTTTTAACTTGCTTTTTACTTTATAGGAAAATTGAAACTTAGACTAGGTATAAATTATTTTATAATTTTACCAATTGATAATTTATATATATATATATATATATATATATATATATATATATATATATATATATATATATATATATATATACACACACACACACACACACACACACACACACACACACACACACACACACACACACACACACACACACACACACACACACACACACACACACACACAGAGTAGTGATAGAGCCTTAAATTTAACTCAACATTGTTAATTTATCCTAATTTAAAGATATTTTTTCAAATTACTGATTTGATTGATTTTTTTTTGTCTTTTTTATAAAATTTTCAAGTTTTTTTTTGGAAGAAATGAGGAAAACAGGTAAAAATTATATTTAGATACATACATACTTTTTATTATTAACTATTATATGTTTTATAATTTTTAACATTAATTTTTTTTTAAGTCTCATTATTAGTGTCAAACTCTGTGACAACTGGTAGGGTTATGCTTTTTATTTTTTTGCAATTATATTGTAGATTATTAAAATACAAATATTACATTTGTTTTTTTTTGTTGTTTTATTTTTTTATTCTACTCTTCTTCTTTTTTCCCTCTTTTTTTCAGCATCGTTCTCTGGTACTACTTCAACATGTAGGGTTATACTTTATATTTAAATAAAATACAAGTATCAACATGTTTAGTTTATATTTTTTTCATTTTTTTTAGCATCATCATCTGATATGACTGCAACTGGTAGGGTTATGCTTGATAATTTTATTTAAGTACAAAGATTAACATGTTCAGTTTTTATTTTACCCTACTTTTATTTTATTTTCTATTTTTTAGCAGTGACATCTGGTACTACTACAATTGGTAAGGGTATGCTTTATATTTAGATTAAAATACAAATATCAACCTGTTTGGTTTTTATTTTATTCTACTTTTTTTTTCTCTATTTCTTTAGCCTCACCATCTGATAATACTACAACTGGTTGGGTTATGCTTTATATTTTTATAAAAATGCAAATATTAAGATGTTCAGTTTTTACTTTATCTAACTTTTATTTTCCCTTTCTTTAGCATTGACATCTGGTAGTACTACAACAATTGGTAGGGTTATGCTTGATATTTTTATTAAAGTACAAAAATTAACATGTTCAGTTTTTATTTATCCTACTCTTATTTTACCCTACTTTTATTTTATTTTTTATTTCTTTAGCGCTGACATCTGGTACTACTACAATTGGTAAGGTTATGCTTTATTTTTTAATTGAAATACAAATATCGACATGTTCAGTTTTTATTTTATTTTTTCCATTTTTTTAGCATCGTCATCTAGTACTACTACAACTGGTAGGATTATGTTTTATATTTTTATGCATTTTTTTTCAAATTGCAATTTTATTCAAAATACAAATATGAACATGTTTGGTTTTTATTTTATTTTTTCCATTTCTTTAGCATCGTCATCTGGTACTACTACAGTTGGTAGGATTATGTTTTATATTTTTATGCGTTTTTTTTCAAATCGCAATTTTATTCAAAACACAAATACCAACATGTTCAGTTTTTACTTTATTCTACTTTTTTTTTCCTTCTATTTCTTTAGCATTGTCTGGCACTGCTGCAACCGGTAGAGTTATGGTTTTATCTTATTATTATTTTAAATGCAAATATCTATTTTTTTTATTATATTATTTTTTATTTCTTTAAATCTAAATTGGAGCAGCTACAGGCTTTATCGCTCCCAGCACCCAGGACCTCTTTCTGAGAGGTCCTTTAACAAATGGTGCCTTAATAATGGTATGGATGAGCCCTCATTTAAATGGAGAGCTCATCCATACAGGGGTGCTGGGAGGCACCAAGGAAAAAACAGCAACAAAAAAATTTTAAATATCTTCAATTAGTGAAGATATTTACAATTTTTTTGTTGCTGTTTTTTCCTTGGTGTTTTATTCTCAAAGAAATAAATTTATAATTTTAATTTTGTTTGTTTTTATTTTTTTAGTATTTGTTTAGACTATTAATTTTTGACTAGACATTTAATTTTTGGTTCACAATATAACATGACTGTAATTGTCCCCAATATATATCATATCAGTTAAATCAGAAAAATGTACTATAGTAGATAATTAACTGTAAAAAAAACCACATGTAAATTTCTAATATTTTAAAGTTTATAATTTGTTGATTTTTACCAGATTTTATTTCTTTTCATTGTTTCGAATTTAATAGTTTAGTGTTTATAACTTCTTTTAACTAATGTTAAGCTTTAATAAATTTAATCTTCTAATTTTTATCTAATATAGATATTTTAATATGTAAAATAGATAGTCTTAATAATAAAGAAAAAAAAAAAGTAAGTAATAAGAAAAAAGAAAAACAGATAAATAATCTTTTATATATTGAATTTGAATTTTGTCATGTTGCTTATTATATTATTGACATTTCAATGATGCTGTTAGATTTTTGTTTATTTCTTTAGAATTTAGAAAATTAAATTAAACTACAACTTTTGAACAGTCATTTCATTGTTTGTGAAGGTTAAATTATTTTAATATTTTTTAAACAATTTTTTTATAGAAATAATTTGAAGTTTATAAAAAGGGTTTACAAATACTTTATTTTTTAATTTTTTTTTCTATTTTTTGTTTAAGCAGCACTTTTATTATTAAAATTTATTATTCATTATTTTTTAATCCTATTCGTTATTTTTTTATTTAGATTATTATTATGAGTTAATTTTTTGTTTAAACATCTCTTACCAGATATATTTATGAAATTTTTTTTATAAAAAATGCACAAGATTGTTGTATAATTTAGTTTATTTTAAATAAAAATTTCCTGTCATTTTTTAAAAATAATTTGTATGTGCAATTTAGAGTAGTAAAAAAAAAAAAGATCACAATCTTCTGGATTAATTCAAGTTTTTTTGTTACTATTATCAATTAAAAGTAAAATTTAAATGGATGAAAATGATGAAAATGTTAATAGGCAAGTTGAAAATAATCATCGCAGAAATGCCAGAAATAGGCTGAGGCGAGATGAAATTAATCATCTTCAAAATATTAGATATGCTGCTCGGCAAGCTTTAATAATTTGAATCAAAATGAGGACAATGTCATTAGGCAAGTTGATAATAATCGTCGCAGAAATGCAAGAAATAGGCTGAGGCGAGATGAAATTAATAATCAACAGAATGCTAGATATGCTGGTAGACATGAAAGAATGCATTGTATAGCAAGAAGTAATACTATTCCAGATTATAATTATTTAGGAGAAATGAATCATATTTGTCAGCATTGTGGTGCTAAGAAATTTCCTGATGAAACACATTTTTTATGTTGCCATAATGGAAAGGTAGTTTTGTCTCAACTTTCACCATTTCCGCAAGATTTACAAGATTTATTTACAGGAAGTGTAGATCGAAATGCCAATGTGAATTTTCTAAAATATATTTGAAATTATAATGCCTGTCTTTCTTTTGCTTCATTTACCGCTAATGTAGTTCAACCCATGAATCATGGGCCGCCATGTTTTAGAATATGTGGTCAGGTTTTTCATCGTGTTGGTAATCTTAGGCCAGATCAAGATATTCCTCCAACATATTGTCAACTATACATTTATGATCCACTTGCAGCAATAAATTTTAGAATGCGACAACCTGGTAATGATCTTTGCTTAAATGATTTAATGTTTCGGTAGCAAACTGTTATTAGTGAGGAGAACCCATTTGCTCTCGCATTTAAAAACATGGCTGAAGTGGAAGATGAAGAAATTCGCCAAGCAGCTATAGAAGGTCGCTCAGTCTCAGTTGTAAAAATGTCTTTACTTGAAGGGCAAGATAGACGTCGCTATAATCTCCCTTCACATAATGAAGTTGCAGTTGTATTTGTTGGTGAAGATGGTGCTCCTCCTGCTTCCAGAAAAGTTGTTATTTACCTGAGAGGTCATCCTCTTAAAACTATATCAAGTATGTCTGCCAACTTAGATCCTATGGTTTATCCTCTATTTTTCCCAAGGGGTAATGCTGGTTGGCATAATCAATTGGTTCACAACCCTGAACGTGCTACATTGGTTAGAAATCATGTTACATTATCTCAGTATTACAATTATAGACTTTCGGTTAGACAAATTTTTTCTTCAATCTTTTATGGCAAGAAACTATTTCAGCAATATGCTGTTGATGCATATGTCAAAATTGAAGGCCAGCGCCTTGCTTTTATCAGAAATAACCAAAACAAACTTAGAAGCGAGCAGTATGATGCCTTACATGAACATGTAGACAACCTTAGAAACGATCATAATGTTAGAGTAGGGCGCATTGTAGTTTTGCCATCTACTTATGTAGAAAGTCCTAGAGCTTTAAAAGAAAACTTTGAAGATGCTATGGCTATAATTAAAAAGTATGGTAAACCAGATCTTTTTATTACTTTTACCTGCAACCCAAAATGGCGCGAGATAACTGAAAATTTATATCCAGGTCAAACTGCAAATGATAGACCTGATTTAGTTACACGAGTATTTAAACTCAAATTAAATAATCTCCTAAATGATATTTTTAAGCATGGTGTATTAGGGAAAGTCGTAACCCATGTTCATGTTATTGAATTTCAAAAGCGTGGTTTACCACATGTTCATATTTTACTTCACTTTGCCACTGATGACAAGCTGGAGACAGCACAGGATATCAATAGTTTAATATGTGCTGAAATTCCAGATCCAATTATAAATCGTGAACTTTATGATGTTATTAAAACTTGCATGATTCATGGCCCATGTGGCATACTGAATCCAAATTCTACCTGCATGAAAGATGGGGTGTGCAGCAAAAATTATCCTAAAGAATTTAATGCCAACACAGTAGTTGTTCATAATGGTTATCCTCGCTATAGGCGTCGCGATAATGGGTTGGTTATCAATATTAAAGGCAACAATGTAGATAACTGCTGGGTGGTACCTTACAGTCCATGGTTATCAAAGAAATATCAAGCCCACATTAATGTTGAAGCTTGCATGTCTGTTAAGGCTGTTAAATATTTGTACAAATACATATACAAGGGTCACGACTGTGCCAATATTTTGATAAATGAACAAATTAATCATGATGAAGTAAACACTTTTTTAGACTGTCGTTATGTTAGTGCACCTGAAGCATTGTGGCGAATTTTTGAGTATCCCATAAGTCATATGTCACACACTATTATCCGCCTTAAAGTTCATCTTCCTGAGAATCAATTAGTGTATTTTAGAGAAGGAGCAGAACAAATGGCTTTAGATCGTGCAGCTCAACGTGATACACACCTTACAGCATGGTTCAAGTTAAATTCTGAAAATGAAAGAGCACATTGCTATTCATATGTAGACATTCCTTATCATTTTATATTTGATGATAAGCTTTGTAAATGGAAGGTTAGACAAAGAGGTGGTAATTAGGTGATAGTAAGAATGTATAAAGTTAATCCAAGTGGAGAATTATTTTTTCTTAGGCTGTTACTTTTGCATGCAAAAGGAGCCAAGTCTTGGGTGGATGTACGTACTGTTAATGGTATTGTTGTTGAAACATTTCGTGAAGCATGCATTTTAAATGGTTTGTTACAAGATGACACTGAATGGCAAAATGCACTTTCTGAGGCAGTTTTAACACGTATGCCAAAGCAAATTAGACAGTTATTTGCAATTATTTTGACTTTTTGTGAACCAGACAATCCTTTGCATCTTTGGAATACATACAAAGCATTTATGATTGAGGACTTTATTCACCGCTCAGTCCCGCTTATAATAGCTGAACAAGCTGGACCGGCTGGTAGAGGAAAAACGTTTACATATAATTATTTGATTGCTGAAACCAGCAGTAGAGGTATCAAATCTGCTACAGCTGCATGGACTGGCATAGCAGCAACTCTTCTTACAAATGGATCTACATTGCATGGCTTATTCAAACTTCCTGTTCCAATATTAGATAACAGCACATGTAATGTTACTCCAAACTCTATACATGAACACTTTTTAAGTCAGGTTAATTTGTTTTTGCTTGATGAAACATCCATGATACCCAAACATGCATTGAATGCAATTGATAGGTTATTAAAAGATGTTTGCAACAACAACTTTCCATTTGGAGGAAAAGTCATTCTTTTTGGAGGCAACTTTAGACAAATACTGCCTGTTGTGAAAAGAGGACAACCAGCTGAAGTTGTAGAAGCATGTATAAAATGTTCTTTACATTGGCAATGGGTGCAGAAGTTTAAGTTAACAGAAAATATGAGAGTACATGATGGGGAAAGGGAATTTTCAAATTGGCTGTTGAGACTTGGTAGTGGAACAGTATTTGTCAAAGAGGAAGATCCTTTTAAAGGGTGCATTGAAATACCGCATCAATGCCTTATTAGGGAAAATGACTCCATTGTTGAAAAGATATTTGGGGATGCCGAACAAGATGATTATGCTAAACGTGTCATTTTGACACCAACTAATGTGGATTCACTATCAGTCAATGAGGAAGTGCTTCAACGTCTACCGGGTGAGGTCAAAACTTATTTAAGTGCTGATCAAGTTGAGACAGACAATCTTAATGAAAGAAATAACTTTCCTGTTGAGTTTTTAAATAGCTTAACTCCCTCAGGTATGCCTCCTCATTCTTTAAAGTTTAAAATTGGTTGTATAATTATGTTACTTAGAAATTTAGATTTCAAAGCTGGGTTATGCAATGGCACTCGAATGAAAGTTTGTGCTCTTCAAAATAATTATATTGATGCAGAGGTTGTGACAGGTGTTTCTGCTGGTAAACGGGTATTTGTACCTTGAATTCAGTTGGCTCCGTCAGATTCTAATTTACCTTTTGTTCTAAAACGTCGCCAGTTTCCTGTCAGATTGGCATATTCAATGACAATTAATAAAAGTCAAGGTCAAACATTTGATAGAGTTGGTGTATATCTAAAGAAACCGTGTTTCACTCATGGTCAACTTTATGTTGCATGTTCAAGAACTAGAGCATTTAATAGTTTATTTTTTAAAATTGATAAACATCCCATTCAAGGTATGATAGGTGAAAAGTGTTATACAAATAATGTTGTATTTTCTAATGTTCTTAATTTATAATTATGAGATTTTTGTTATAATTTTCACTTTTTTTCATAGTTTTATTTTATATTGTTTTAGTAATTATATTTGTCTTTATACATGTTTATAATTGTTATAGGTGTTATGTAAGTGTTATATTTATGTTATGTGTTAGTTGTTATTTAAATTGTTCATGTAATACTTGGGCTATATGTGTTATCAAGGTTATGTGTTTAGGGTTTGTGTATATGTGTTTATAGTTTGTGTATATATGTTTATATTACGTTGTTTCCATGTTTTCAAAGTGGTGTGACTTAGCAAACGTGTCGAGCAAGATAGTTAACCTTGCCAGCCAAGCGGTGTACTTAAAGCAGAGGTGTGACTTGGCAGCGTTTAGAGCCAAGTGGTGTTACTGCTTTGTTGTGGCTAGGTTGTGTTGTCTAGCCTTTTTTAATTATTCTGGAAACACGTAATGTCTATTAATATTAGGCATCATATGTACATACAAATATGTAATGTGTTAAATGTGTTAATATGTTTTATAATGTTATATTGTCACGATCATAGCACAATTGCCTAAGTCATTTTTTGGGGGTTTTTTGGAAGTTAAAAGTTGAAATATATAGCTTAAACAGTCTAATAATGTGGCAAATCGCCTTAAACCAATCAGAAAGGAGTTGATTTTTAGTTTTTTCATTTCTGCTTAAATCCGCATTTTTACTTATATCTTATTGCTTTTGACCTATATTCTATTGTGTCTCAACGGTAATACACATATCACTTCTAAAGCAATATATGAAAGCATCTAAGTAAAAAGATGCCAAAAATAAGCCAAAGTGACGTAGCAAAAGAAATACCGAAGTTATTCATTTTTTTTTTTTAGTTTTCTCAAAACAAGAAAAAAATGACTTAGACGATTGTGCTATGATCGTGACGATATGTTTGTTTCTTTGCCTGTTTTATGCAGTGGTTTCAAAGTGGTTTGACTTTGCCATTGTAAAGAGCAAGTGTAATGTGTACTTATAAATATCTTATGTGCTTTTGTTGTGCGTTATCGTTGTAATATTGTTGTGATGATTTGTGTTGATAGACAGTTGGCTTACCTTCCCGTTGGTGTCTATCGTTAAAAATGATTAATTGGTAGTTCTATTCATGGAGCTTACTGTTTCTAATCATTCACTAAACGCCAAGACAAAACATATTGTTATAAACACAATTTGTTTATATTTCAATTTGTTTTTTTTTTTTATCTTTAGTGTTGTGCATAGTTCTATTCTTTAAAACATTTTTAATTTGTTTTTCAATAAATGTTAATTTTTTCGTCTTTAATAAAAGCCAGCATGAAATAATGTCATTGAACAACACCATTAAATATTGCTTCATCAAAACAGCAACTGCAGTTTGCCAAAAACAGGTTAATTGTTTTCCTGTTTTAAAAATGTTTTTCTTTTCTATTATATTTACTTATCTATTACATTTTTCTTTTAGACACCATGTGACGTATTTATGCGATACAGGAGAACACAAATAATAATTATGTTTTGTTATTAAATAATAAAGTTTTGTTAAAAAAAATATTATTAAATAAATTTGTGATTTTGTAATAAACGGAAGGGTCGGATTTTAGAAGCATGAAATATTTGAAAATTTCTGTTTAAAATGCATTTTTCATCTATGATGGAGAGACCTTTATGTAATTAACTAAAATTTAATTATGCGCACATTAAACGCTTTTAAGTTAAATAGAATTCCTTAATAAAGGAGAGGGGGTTACCAAAAAAATTAATAAGTGTCCCGTTAGACATTAGAAGTTAACATTTATATAAGTATTATAAAATTTTTTAACTGCTCCAAAAAATTTAAAGATGTTAAGGAAAATTTCAACTAAATGATAATAAAAACGCCTTCACTCTAAAAAAAATATATATCCAAAAAAAAATAGTTTTTGTCATATTTAACAGTAACTCCCTTAAGTTAATTATTATGTCTTTTTCTAACACGGTGCCTTGGAAACACTGTCTTAGTCTCACTTAAATAAGAATTAATAAAGCGAGATAAAACCTGAATAAGTACGGAGCTCTTGCGTACTTCTTAACACTATTGATAATGACCGTCTATAAACATATTTTACGCGTTGTTTGCTGTTTTATAAAATAATTATAACCATAAGCAATGACATAGCTAATAGGGAGCCGAACTTTAAATAAAAATTTATCTGTAAAATTATTTACAGATAAATTTGTATTTAGATATATATTTTTAGATAACGTAGTAAGTTATGTTGTTACTAATGGTTTAGTTATTTTTAACCCGTATTACGGGTTGCTTACTGCTAGTTTGGATTAATGCTGTCAAAGTGTGATAAACCACACTCGCTGGATTTGTCCAGTTACAGTTTAACTACTAACTAACTAACTAACTTTTATTACAAAAAAGCACATTGAAACCTAATTGTTGCAAATTATTTAGAATATAGTAAATGATCAGTAAATTTAAATGAACCAAATAATAAAATTACCTTTATTGGCAGAAAATCCAGAATATATTTCTGGTGAAATAGAAGTCTCTAAATGATATAATAAAGTTCTCTTTACAAACAAAAAACTTTTAAATTACGTTTAGATGTGGAGCTAATCTAAATAAATCTTTAACTTATATAAACTTTTTTTAATTATTTTTATGTAACAAATCATTTCTTTATAACTTTTTTTAGCTTTAAATTGTTTTGCTATTACTAAAATTTTAAGTCCCATAAAAGTATTATATGACATGATGTTTTGTTATCAAATTTATATCCTTAAGCATATTTTACATATATACATATAACATATATATCTAAAACTCTTAACTGAATCTTTGATAGTACTGCACTTATTTTGTTTTAACAAGTAGCAGTTTTCTATATACAAAATATAGCAGTTTTCTATATACAAAATATAGCAGTTTTCTATATACAAAAAGTCATTGTATGCCAACCTTTAACTTAACCTTTCAATACCAGAAACACCTATTTATGGTAAAACACCAATTTATGGTAAAACATTGGAATAATTATGAGGGTGTAATTACTGCCAACAAACGTAATGGTTTTCGACTTTTCAAGAAATTAACAGTCAATACTGCAAATTATTTAGAAAGTTAGAATAGCAAAGTTTCTAACTTCTAGTTAGAAAGTGTGATATTTTCATGTACAACAGGGCAACTTGGCACCGGGAAAAACATGTCAGACATGGCTCAAAGAAAATGCAACTGATGTTATTGCCATATGTTTGGGTAATTTATCAATTTTAAATCCTATCAATTGCTTACTTTGTCAAACCATAAACAGAGGTTTCTAAACAAAACCCAACAAAATTTATGAAGAAGAAGGATTTATGAAAAGTTTTTTTTACATAAAAATAAGAACATTGGTTTTTATATATTCTGCATCTTATTTAGTTTCAGTTGAAAAACATTGTTTTAACTGTGTCTGGTCATATAGTTGCTATAACATTTATACTCCTATGAAAACAATGTCATTGTCAATAATAAACTTAAACAACATTAATAATGGGTAGTTTATGAATTACTATAATCATAATAACTAATTATAACTAATAATTAAAAGTCAGAAATTTCCTTCACAAAATCAATATAGAAATTAATTATAAAAAATATATAAAAATAAAAATATAAAAAATTACATTTTTTAATAACTGTAAATTTATTATCAGTTTAATATATCCAGCAAATATTGTTTTGGAGGAATTGCAGTGAACTTATATCAGTATTTTTGAGTGGTTTATTGCAGTTTTGCTTAGCGGTTACTTGGTGGACCATTAGTGGCAGTCACAATAAATGGCAAGCCACTAACTTTCTAACATATTAATAATATCTAGTTAACAACAACAAAACAAGTTCATAATTTTAAAACAAAAGTTATGAACTTGTTGCTCTCCTCTTTAGGGCAGGGGGCAAGATTTACAGGTTTTTTTTAGCTGCCTGGCTCCAAATATTTCAACATTTTTACAAACCTTTCTTGTTTTGACACTTGTATAAACATATAGATGTTTGGAGTTTACTCTATGTTTATAATTTGGTATCTAAAACACCAAAAAACGTTTGATCCCCTTCTGAGTTAAAACTTCTTTTGCAAAGTGATTATTTAAAAAAGCGTATCAACCAAAAAAAGAACGCTTTTTGTTTTGTTTTCAATGGAATATATCTCATGCCCACCCAAAGTATTGATATCTTTTAAAATATCTTGAGTACCTTTTAAGTCAACCTAAAACCTCTAAATCGAAGCAGTGCCAAGGCCATGACAGCCGCTGCAGATGAGGGGGCTACTTTTAACCCACTTTCAACTCTGTAACTCCGAAACATGAACCTTGACAAACGAGGCCACTGCGAGGAGAAACAAATTAATAAACCTAAATCACATACTTTAAAACAAAATTTTTACCAATTTTCATTTATCCCTAATTAGAAAAATGCTTTTATATAAAACCTTTCATAAAAGGTATAATTAATATATAAGTACACACAATCAAAAAGAATACTCAGAATAATCATAACATTGTTAAGTAAAGCTTTAACAGCATAGTATATTTATTTTATTTACAAACAACAAATATAAGTACTATTAAAATCATAATAAGATATAAATCAAATAAGATAGAGAATAATTTACAATTATCTACACATTTGATGGAGCTATTAAGGAGCTATTAAAATCTTAAACAAATAATACAATTTTTTTTTTGTGACTAAATAAAAAATAATGCAAACAAACTTAATATGCTCAATTTAGATAAAAACAAAATTTTTAACTTAACTTGCCTCAAGTAAGCCCTGAATTTGAAAGCAAACAAGTGATCACATTAAAAACTGTCAGACATCTTTTAAATAAATTTTTCCCATGAATTTATGTTTTATAATTGAACAGTTTAAAGAGACAAACAAAAAAAGACAACAACCAACAAAAGAACATAACTATTACCAATACATTTGATAAAAATATGAAAATCTATCAAAATCTAAAACCAAAAATACTATTTTATTTTTGTGATTAAATGGAAAATAATGCAATCAAAGTTAATATGTTCATTTTTGAAGAAAACAAAATTCTTGGTATATTAAAAATTATGTAGCACAGAAAATATTTTGTTAAATTTTGTGTCTTTTGTTAATTAACACATTAAAAAACTAGTTAAAACATATGTAACTATAAATTCACATGAATACATAAATATCTTTGAGTAAATCAAATCTAATGTCCACATTATAAAAAAAATATGAATATCCAATATTAATTCAGCTAAGTTTTTAGTTGATTCATATTTGCTTCATATGTCTGAATTTGGAAGGAAACACGTAACTATTTAACAACTATATGTCAGACATCTTTTAAATAACATTTGCTTTGTATTGACCGGACATCTTTTCAGTAAAGTTCCCTCATGACCCTATGTTTCAGAGTTACAGTTGGGAAGAGAAATACAGATTAAAAATTAGAAGAGAAATACTAAAATATATAATCACTAAAATTAGTGAATTAGATTTGTGAAATTGAAAAGTTTTTTTAATTTTTATTCAGAAAACAAAAACATAAATTTTTAAACTTGATGTCTGATAAAAACAAATTTAACCATTAAAAAAAGTCTAAGGGTAAGAACATTCAATAAATTTTTATACTTAATGAGACCAGCTTTAATAAATTAGGACACAGGGTATTTATATTTTTAATCATTCCACTTTCAATTAAAATTACTTTGAACTAATTAAAGTTTTTGGTATTTTCCTAACTGATATTTTGAATCATTTTGAATAAAAAATACAAGATAAATAATATTTTAATTTTTATGTTTTCTTATAGATGCTATTTTTATAGAGAAAAAAGGTTCATAAACAAAATACAACAACAATTTAATTTTGTTTAAATCTGTTTTTAATTTAACTACATTAAATACAATTAAAAAATAATTACTTGTGAATTCGTCTACTTTTCTTATTAGATCCATTCTATTCATTTTCTTTAAAGCTATTTTCAACTCATTAACTGTTGGTTTGTCATTCATTTGCAACCATTTTGTTAACATTGAACATGCTTTTACATTAATTTTTAAGTTTTCTTGATCAATCATGTCTAAATAATTTTCTTCAATATTTAACCAACATCCAAGAGTTCTCCAATCTACTCCAACACTATCACTAAACTTTAATTTAAACGCTTGGCTAAAAATAGTGGTTTCATCTTTTTTGAGATGTGTAAAAAGTTGACCCATTTTGATGTTTCTACAAAAAATAGAAGATCTATGATACCAGAATATATACAATATACTTACACATAAATATGTAAATGTATATGTGTATATATAATGTATATATAAACATAAGTATAATGTTTATCAATATTCAGTACTCGAATTAACGCATTTTGACAATAAAACATGTGTTATTTTACACATTTCCCAAAATATTTCTAAATTACATGAATCCGGATTTTGAAATTGTTTGGATATTTAAGTATATTACCAAAAGGAATTTTTGTAGTTTAAAAATTTTTAAATTTTAAAAATATATTTTAATTATTTAAAAAATATATATATTT